AAGAGCTGTGTCCTGTCCCTTTGGAATCTCCCTCTTTTGGGTCTTGTGTACTGATTGCATGTACATTATAATGCAAGTTTCTATTCTTTTCTTCCTATAACATTTTCCTCTCTGTAAGAAGGACAGCTGTGTAAAATTCAAGTGTTTTATTTCATCAAGAATTCAACCCTGTGAAAAAAATATTAATATATAGTTTCTTTTCTTTGGTATTCTCCAATATGTTGTAAATTATCTGACCTATCACATATTTATCATGCAATGAACATTGTTTCTTTGCTATTAGTAGGGATGGGACATTTGGAAAATGAATTATTTTGGATTTCTTTGACTATAAGTAACAGAAATCCAATTTTATTTTCTGAAATAATACAGTAAAATTTTTGAATCATGTAACTGAAATTCCAGAGGTGTTTCACTCACCCTTATCCTCCTCCCTATGTCAGTGGGACCAGAACCACATATTTCCAGAGAGAGAGAGCACAAGAGAGAGATATTTTCCATACCATAGAATAAAAATTGCAGTGACCGAATTGTGCCAGACCAATGATTGTGGTCAGGGGATTGTCGTGTGTGGATTGACTTAGGGGATATTGATGAAACTGGGAATAGGGCTGACTTCCCCTGACATAGACAGGTTGTTTAATTGACAGGCACCTGAATAGAAAAATCATATTTATTTATTTATTAAGATTTCTATTTAACTTTATTTATCTACTTATTTAAATTTGACCAGACAGAGCAAGAGAGAGAGAGAGAGAGAAAGACAGAGAAAGTGAGAAAGCAAGCCATCAAGTCTGGGACTTGAATCATGGTCAGCCATTTTGGAGTCCAGCACCCTTAACCACCATGCCACCTGCTGGCCCCCAATTCATTTATTTAAAAAAAAAATTGATATAGGTGCATGTGTTCACTGGAGAAAGAGAGATAGAAAGTAAAATAGTATACCCCAAGGGGGATGGCCATATCATGATTCCTTCTCTTTCATCCTCATGGGATTTGAGCAAGCATGCACATACATATGTTCAGGATATTTTTCAAGCTACCAGGTTTGGGACTCAAGCCATGCAGTCAAAACTGTGGGATCCAGCCACTTTAACCACCATGCCATGGGCTGGCTCACAGAAAAATAGTAGTTTTATGAGGAAGATTAAAGACATAGAAAACCAACAAATGTCCATTACATTAAGCATAATTAAAAGAAAGAGAATCGAAAAGAGAATAAAGAAGATAGCCAGTAGCTGAAAAGAGAAAACTACATAGCGGCAATAAAGCTTCTAGAAGAAAAAAATGAAAGACAAAAGGAAAGGCAAAAATTTAATTGAGAAAAGCAGGATCTGAGTTTAGGGAAGAACAAGGAATTATTCCAGAACATCTACTTTTTAACTGTTTTTAATGAAGGATTTCAAACTTTGGATGTTTTCTTTAGCTTCTCCTCTGTAGTCAATACTTGAAAAATAAAATTTTGCTGACTGTGCCTTGTTTACAATTTTAGGATGGTGTTTACTAGTTGAATAAGAATTGGGTGTTTTAGGACCAGCAGATGGCTTATTGTTTATGTCGCTGGATTCCCACATAGTCAACCATGGTCTGAGTTCTGGATCTGGTGACTTAAACCTCATGCTGGGTGTGTGTTCATGCGTGCCCAAGATCCCCAGAGAAGAATGGAGGAGAAGAGACTGCAGTGTGGCTATTCCCCAGGGGAGTGATTTCTTGCTTTTTGTCTCTGTTTAGTGCATGTGCTGTATAACAAAAATCTCTCTCTCAAAAAAATTAAGAACTGGGTGTTTTCCTTCTCAAATCACAAATGGGTACATTAAACTTACTCCATCTCTTTTCTGTCAGCTGATGATTTGACATAGCCACTGTTGGTTGACCACTGGTCACGCCTCACTAGAATTCTGGAAGGCTTATCAGAATGAAGTGTATCAACTGGATAGGTTTTTCTTGGAATATGTGACTAAGTGGAGTGAACAAAATATGCTGTCTTTTATAAGAAGAAGGCAGGACACTGAGCCCTTTATCATATCAAGCTTCCAGGGCTGGGAGGATACCTTCATCATGGACTCCTTCAATGTTACTGAAGAGATATTAACTAACTTCCATAGTTGACGGATGGAACTGTGAACTATAATAAACATTCAGGGTCTACAGCCTCAACTGGATAGATCCTTAATGAATTATATCATATTTCAGCATTCCCTGTGCTAGTTACTATTTAGCAGATCTTTGTTAATGTAGGAGCAAATATTTGTTCAAGTAGTCTCTTTGGTTGCAAAAGTTTTTATATCATTATTTCACTTCAAGTATTTTATTTTCGAAATTTCTACTTGGTTTTTCATAAACAGGGAGCATAAGGAACTTTCCACTTATGTTTCACAATAATCCATTCCATCTGCTAAAGAGATCAGGCTTATACTAGCTAATGGATGAAAGTGAGAGATTTGAGAGGACAATAAGTAAGTGTATAGGACGTTGAGGTAAGGATTTCTGATTTCTGTTAACTGAAAATAGTGACTAGGCAACCAAGACAGGCCTTCTCAGTAAACAGCTCAGGTGAAAATCTGGCGGAATCATTGAATAACATTAAACCAGATCTCTGCCCCTAACATTTCTTTCTTTTTGGCTTTGCCATGGTGATTAAAAAAACAAAGAAACAAACAACAACAACAACAAAAAACAGACCAATACAAGAAACAAAAACCTCTGCATTGACCAAGGTTTTTAGTTCTGAATGAAGGCTTTGGTGAAACATAAATATTATATAACCCTGTAGTTACGTTGTGTAGCTTTGTCAAACCCTTTATCATAAAGTCTCAACTGTACACAATGATAATGAAAAGACACTTGGAACCCAGGGAATGATGTACAATATTTCTTTATTATTTCCACGAGTCCCTGCTCAGCTGATGGGAACAGAGCATTAATGGATCTCTGACAGTCTTTGGCCCTGATTTTTACCTTTCTTCTATTCTACCCATTTCTTTTTCCCTTCACTATGATCCTGAATCGTCTATTTATTCTTTATGCCATCGCCAATTCCAGCACTCACCATCTCTGAGAATTCAAGAGTAAGCTGCCTTCAGGGGACTGAGTAATGGGGACTTTGAGCCAAGGGAGTTTGGATGAGTGGGTGGGAGAGAAAGAAAGTTGTAGACAGGTAGGAGAATAGTCCAAGGCATGGAACATTTTCAGGAGAGCTATTAATAGTTGGGTGCTGATTCAAGAGGGAGGCCATTGAACATGGAGAGCTTGGTTTCCTGGAGGGGTTATTGTATTATAAAGAAGAAAGAGGCAACTGAGAAAAAAAAAATACAGGAAAACTTCTGAAAAGACAAGCATCTTAGGGATGAACTGTAGACAAGTATTCTTCTGAAGGCATCAGTTGAAAATACATAACATCATGATATCCCTTCTGACATTATCTTCGTCTTCCAGATTCTACTGCTAGTTTTCCATGGGACAGGCTTGAAGGTCCTTCTAATAATGTTACAGCTGCTGCCATGGGGTCCTTGATGCTTACCTCAACATCCTTTTGAAGAGACAATTGAGTAAGTGGGCAGCACACACTTTCCCCATAGTTGTAAAGTCCAAAAATGCGGAATTTCGGTGATCATTTATGCCAATTAAATACACTGATATAATTTTAGATATTTATCATGTCCAATCCCCTCATTTTAAAGATATGAGAGAGATGGAGAGGGAGAGAGAGAGAGAGAAAGAGAGAGAGAAGAGAGGGAGACTGAGAAACTTAGTGCTTACCCGAGATCAGACACTATTCAGGCTCAGCTGAAGCCACTAGAAACAGAACTAGGACTGGAGCTTCAGGATCGTGGGTCTTCCTTGACATCTTTCATTACTACATCACTTAAACCGGTTCTAACTGATAATATCACACTTAATTGTCACTTTTACTTGCGATCTGAGTTCTTTGAAGAGCCCAGTTGATTCTGGGATGCCTTATAGGCTGTCCTAACTGATGGCCTGGTGAAGATGATTGTTTATTTAATCCTATACATTTTGAATTTTAAATATGTTCTGGTCACAGACAAATTATGCTTTAGAAGAGTTTTAGAGGATGAAAACGAGAGTAGAAATTCTAATCAGATTGCTATGGGTTAAGGAAGTATTCTTAAAGAACATAATTTACCTCTTACTGTATGCCATTATTATTTAGAGATTTCCTGATCTGGTCATCAGCAATGTTTCATGAGAAAAGGAAGAAATCTAATTAATACCAACTATTTAAAAACTAATTATATTACATTTTGAAGTTAGCTGAATTAAAATTGAATGATCTTTGCAAATGTTTCAGAAGTAGTATTCAAATAAGCAGCTTGCCTTTGTGGTTACGAAGCAAGAGTAATTTCAAGAGACTGAAACTATAAGCCAAGCTAATATATGAAACAAACCACATCCACAATCTCTTAAAAATATAGAAGTGTTGGGAACCAGCAGTTAGCGTAATGGCTATGTCGCTGGACTCCCACATAGTCGACCACAGTCCGTGTCCTGGACCCAGTGGCTTAAAACTCACACCGGGCGCGTGTGCGTGTGTGCCCAAGATCTCGAGAGGAGAATGGAGGAGAAGGGATTGCGGCGTGACCATCCCCCCTGGGGGGTGATTTCTCGCTTTCTGTCTCTATCTCTCTGTCGGGCAAGTACACGCGCCCTATAGCGAAAACCTCTCAAAAAAAAAAATATATATAGAAGTGTTATAAACAGAATTGTTTCTATAGAGAATGCAATCTTAATATCCAAAAACAGTAGAGATACAGTAAACTTTATATAGTATCATTTCATTCCAGGTCTTTCCCAGTAAAAAGGGGTAAATACACCAACTCTTTGTATAGGAAATGCCTTTTTCCTTTACCATAAGTAAATGGAATCAATAAACTCTCTAAAGATGGATAGTGTAACGTGGAATTCATGCTTGCTCTCTTACTAGTAGTTATTTGTATATGAAATATCATGAACACAAGATTGAAAATGTATGATTTATAAGCAAAAGGAAAAAAATCTTTAAATTCTCATGCCTTATATTGCAAATTTCTAGTTGACTTGTAAGTCTTTCAAAGCCTATGCTATTAAGAAATTTAAAATTTCTATGGCTATCCATGTTTAGCTAATACTAACCCCTCAGCTAGCCACCCTGTGGCATTTTACATGCTATTCTTTATTTTTTCCTTCTATATTTTTTCTCCTCTAGCTTTTTAAGAAACGTTATGCCTATTTCTGTCACATTGTCGCCTTTTAGTCGGTCTTGCAAGAATGTAACATCAGCAGCCAAATGAACCTAGGAAAGAAAAAGGAAATAGGCCTGTGTCATTTAATTTAAAAAACTAAATTTTTTTGTTTCTCTTTCTCTTTCTTTTAAGCTTTATTTAATTTCCTTATGTAATAATTAAAAAAAAAAAGTTTGTTCTGTGGATAAAGGGCCCTTTACTGTGTATCCTTCAGAGATGGTCTGGCTATTTGCCAGCTCTGTGGTATGACTCGAAGCAAAGGGAGGCCCATGCCTGACCCAACTCCGATGACTGGAATGCCCAGACATGTCAGCCCACGCCAAGCTGTGCTCACAGCACAGAGCTGAACTATGGATCCATCTTAAGAAGAACACAAGTTACCAATTCAAAGATAGCCTTGACCCAGCAGGCTTGGCCAAGCAAAACTTCCAAGATAAGTGGGTTCTTAAATGACTTCTCTGACACTGATTTGTCTACAGCATTATGTCATCAGCTCAATAACATGGTCAGTTGTCCTAACAACATTTAGTATTCATAGCTCTGAGAGCTTTGAAAAAAAATACAGCTAAATAAATTGTAAATATAAAATTAAAGATTGAAATTATAGGAGCCGGCTGGGTGGCGTGGTGATTAGGGTGATTGGACCCGCAGGGTCGATTGTATGTTTCAAGTCCCAGACCCAGCAGCTTGAAAAGCAGAGCAGACACATTCTTGTGTGTGCCCCAAATCCCAAAAGGAGACCCAGAGGAGAAGGGATCACAGTGTGACAATTCCCCATAGTGGGAGTGCTTTCTCATTTCCCCCCTATCACTCTGTCTCCTCCAGAAAGCATATGTGCCTTTAGCTATTATCCATGAAACCTGGAGACTTCTTTATCCTATTTTTACTTATAGTTTCTCCTTGTGCCCATAAACACCCAGAACCCTTCTCCCCCCCTCCTTTTTTTAAAAAAAAGGTTTTTGCTATAGGGCGCATGTGCTCACCAGAAAGACAGAGAGAGACAGAGAGACAGAAAGTGAGAAATCACCCCCCGGGGGGATCACCGTGTCACAATCCCTTCTCCTCCATTCTCCTCTTGGGATCTTGGGAACGCACACACATGCACCCGGCGTTAGTTTAAGTCATTGAATCCAGGACTCAAACCGCGGTTGATTACATGGGAGTCCAGTGATATAGCCATTATGCCATCTGCTGGTCCTGTCTCTTCCCCTTCTTTTATCTCATGGCCACTGACTATAAGATAAGCCTCAAGAAATGCTGGGGGTGGGGGTGGAGTGGGCAGCAGATGGCATGGAGTAAGGTGCTGGATCCCACATGGCTGACTGGAAGTTCAAGTCCTAGAACTGGCTGCTTGAAAAATGCCAGATGCATGTGTATGTATGTCCAGAATCTCAAGGAGAATGGAGGAGAAGGAATTGCAGTATGTCTATCCCCCCGAAGGTGATTTCTATGAATAATTTCCCCTCTCTTTGTCTTTTTCTCTCTCTGCTGAGCACACATGCCCTATGGTAAAAGCATAAAAAGAAAAAATAAATGCTAGACTAGAAATATGGAGGACCTGTGTGAATAACACATTATTTCTATTGCTTTATGATTGTGGATTACCTGATACTCTCTCCTTCCCCTAATTATCAAAAATAATTAAGAATTGCATGCATGTCTCATTATTGGGTTGATAAATCCATGTCTAGACTTTGGTTACCCTCTGGTCCCAACATTCCTAATAGCTAAGCTTTGGGAACAATGAGACTTTGTTGACTGTTACCTCTTTCTAACTTGCTGTTGGCTCATCAGTGGATGACAGATTGTCTATTTTTCCTTCCTCTTTCCT